CTGTCTTCTACACAACTTTTATTGTTCTTATTAATTCACTTTTGATTTTGTAAATATTTTATATCTGGCTATAAATTTTTTTTATTAGAGTTTATTTTTTTCAGGGGGTCTAATTCCAAAGTGTATGGGTCATAAAGTACATTTTTCAAAATAACACCCTGCTTGAATGCTGTTATACTTCTTAAAGATTAGAGGTTTAAATTTAATCCATTTTCCGTAGAAAGCATCATAAAGGCCACATACCGTGGCTGGAGGAAAATCAATGTCTTTTTAGAGGGATCTCATATATGTTAAAAAGTAAATTGAGCTTTTTTCATGGCTTTGTCGATTTCATGCCACTTTTGTTCAATTCTACTTGGTGAAATAATTTTACTGCCTATTGAGCTCTTCTGTGAAACCTATTTCAGTGGTTACTAATGATTCATTAGCCCATGTTTCAACAAGGTTATCCTTGAATTCATAGCAACATTGAGAATTATGTTTGTTCCAACACATCTGTTATATTAGTCAGCTTTTAGTTCTCTGTTATGGGAATCTCAGAAGCCATTTGACTGGGTTCAGGTTTTCTGTGAATTTTCATATTATTTTATGGCCACCGGCTGCATTTTATGACTATATATTAAATGTTTTATTTTTTCAAATCATTTTTCCGACTGGTCTCAGTTTCCCATCTAAGGGAAATCAGGCACATGCACAAATATCTACTGTTCAGCAAGTTACAGCGAGTGGAAAGCTGAAAATAATCGAAAAGGCTACATAAATAAATTTTTTTTCAAAAAGAAAAATTCTGTGTGCCCCAAATCTGCATACCATACCTTTGACACTGTATCTCCTCTTTCTTGGTAGGACCTGCCTTCAGCTTTTAATTGGAACCTTTTTCATAATTGTTGCCATTTAACACATTTAGTCTGTCAAATCATGGGATATCTTTATAGCCATATAATAAACCCTAGAGAACAACTTCTCTGACTGTAGCCATCTGCAATGATCACAAGAGTAGCTTACAAAATACTGACAGTCTTTATGGTAATGGGATACATATGGCAGCCCACAATTATGTGTAGCTGCATTCAATTAGTGTTGTACAATTACACAGTTTTATTGCTTAGTTAAAACAGTGAAAGCTCTACATACTGGGTAATTTGCACTAATCCCCGTCTCTTTAATAGCTCCTTGGTGTTTAAAACGTGGGGGAAACATCTATAGTATTTAAGGGGCCTGGGATGAACTTTAAATTATATCTCATGTTGTGAATACTCTTTGACTGACAATTAATGGACTCCCACTTCACATGTGGGTCATGTTTTATAGAAGCTTTAAAATACAGTTCGAGCAGAAAGTGCTTCTTACACCCAAACCCACTTGCTGGATCAGGCTGTCCAAGCCGATCCTGGCACCCTGCTAATAACGTGCTTTCTGAAAGACGGTCAGGGTGAGGCGACGTGTGGAGCGCCAGTGTCAGATTCAATTCAGAGAACAGTGTAAACCGAGGATCGGGTGTTTTAAATGGAACTTGTGAGAAGGCTTTCTGATTCCTACCTCTTAATTAAAAACTTAGTTCAAATGAGTTTATAGTTGCCATTTAGGAAAATACTTTCTAGAAATGATTTTGCAAAGATTCACGTGTGTAGTGTGTGTGTGCATATACATGTTTGAAACAGATGGATGTAGCAATCTGTGATTTTTCACATTTTTTTCTTACATATTCATTTGAGAGACAGAAAGAACCCCCTTTTGCTGGTTCACTCCCCAAATTCCCACAACAGCCACTGCCTGGCAGGGGTAGAAATGAGCAGCCCGGAACTCAATCCTAGTCTGCCATGTGGGTGGCAGAAACCAGGTTCCTGGAGCCATCATCAGTGCCTCCCAATGCCTGTTTTGTTGGGAAGCTAGAGCAAGGAGCTGAAGCCTGGCATCGAACCTAGAGGCTTGGTCCATTGTGGGACGGAGGAATCTTACCTGGCATCTTAACCATTAGGCCACACACTGGTCCCCAATCTGATTTTTTCTTTACAAATAAAGTGGTGCCAATCACGCCCTCTGCAACTGGCTCATTGAACAGGAAAGGGTGAGGATCACTCAGGTTGCAGCAGGTGCTAACTGTGAGCCCCAGTTGTGGGGTGACTCATTATTGCCACTTAGGAAACGGGCTCTTGCGTTGGAGGAAAAGAAACTCTGGGACAGTATATTCTCCATCCTTCTCCTAAAGTGTTGACAGAGAAAAAGCCCACGTAACCCTGCTTCCTGCCCTGCCTGACAGTAGTTAAACAGAATTCCAAACTAGAAGTCTGGACAATGACTCACCTGCAAAAACATTTTCTCGAAGCATTTCTAATGTACTTGCGTCTAGGTGTGTTTTCAATTACGTGGCCTAGGCCTTTGTCTGTAAGCTCTTTTTGTTTCCTAAGCATCATGAACCTTTTTATGTTCATGAAAATTCTACTGTACATTTTTCAAAGCACAAAACGCGGGAGAGGAAACATTGTACAAGTGATTAAAGAGAGAAAATAAGAACTTTAAAGTTACAGATTCTATGTATTTTACTTAAATGAGTTTGGTTTTGTTAGAAGTGTTATGACTTTTAGTACTCCTCATTTTCTTTATTTCAGATAGGATTTAGTGGTCTCTTTTTTCTTAGTAATTGAACTTTTGAACTATATTGCTCATTTGCACGTACTTCAAAAAGTTCATGGAAAATGAAATTAAAAATTAAGTTTATTTTGGTGGAAAAAATGTGAAATCCATGCATAGTTTTTTCATAATATATATTTTCTATGATCTTTTTGAAGAACCCGCATATTAAATATAATTGGTATATTTTTGTTTTTTAGACGATATTCCTATTAAAATACTGATGTTCCAAAATAAAGCCTTTGCTTCAAGGTAGAGAATCACATGATCAGATTCAGAACAAAAATGATACTTATGACCAGATCTGCCAACGTTTGCTTTTGTCAGACATTTAAATAAAATTAGGTGATGTAGATACAATTTTTTAAGTTACAAAATTCCGGCATAAATGGAGTTCAATACGTCAAAATAGGCACAGCCTCACAAAGCGCATGTCAAGAATGTTTGGACTTCATAAAACATCAAAGCAAGAGATTTTTTTGCATTTTAGGACAGTTATTGGTAACAAAATGAAAGTAAGGAAGTAAACAGATCGTCTGTGTCTGGGAAGCAGACCATCTCAGAGATGTTTCCATCTCAGATTTCTTTTCATGAAAAACATTTGCTTGTCTTTTGGATGACCAGAATGGGTGATATGCCAAGACTACCATTTACAGATAGCTTTTGCCTAAGGCCAGGGGCAGTATTGTGTTTTGCATCCCAGAGGTCTCAAAGCCCCTAACCGAAACCTGTTTATAGTGACCAGATCTAGACAGCTGCCTCACTGCCTAGGGAAGACATACCCACCCCAGATGACAACTGGACAAAACCCACACCTGTGAAGGACACATGGCAGACTTTACCCTAACAACTCAGGTGCAGCTGACCCCCACAAGCCTTTAGATGTCTGCCCCAGGGCAACCTAAAATTAATTGTGATCCAAAGCCGTGGATATTTTAAGAATGGAGAAGATGTAAAAGAATATTTTCCACCAAGTAAAGACACGGTCTCTCCAGAGAGGAGGATCCCACTATTGCCTTTGCCAGTAATTGTTGGATCCAAATGGTCACTGCTGATATTGCAGCTTAGCTGGCCAAACATCTGCATTTTATGCAGCAGTGGAATGCAAAGTTAATCTACTTTTTCCAAAGGAAGGCAGACGTGGCATGTGAACAGTAGCAGCGGCGCTCCTGATGTGTGGAGATGTGTCTTGCTGTGCAAGAGGCTCACACTGCCACAAGTAACAGATGATCTTGGAGTGATAACAGAAGAACATGCAAACTTCAACTTGCTGGATGAATTATTTTGATGTAGAAGCAGAACTTGGCTGTTTCCTTGAGGCATCTCCTGAAAATTGCCCTTGTTGGAAATACTAGCCTTTGATTGTGGTTTTCTTTTCTTTGTCATATTGATTCCAACAGGGGGCATTGAATCAGAATTCTGAATGTTTTTTGATCTTTTCTTTGAAATAAAAGAAGTTGTTTAGGATGCTTTTTAGAGCACATCCATTTGTTCTGATCATGGGCTGGAATTAAAAGGGTGCTCCCATAAATACTTGCCTGGAGTCACATGCATCCTTTTCTTGATTTGTTGAGGGAAAGGCTGGAAACTTTTACTGCCTTAATAAGGAAACCTGGACAGAATGCTGACTCTGCACCTGATAAATCCTTCCAAATTGCCACAGGTGAAATGAAATGTTAATATCCCTTTCAATTATTAATAAAAATGTAAATAGATCTTGTTGGAAATGTAGGGCACTGAAAATAAAGTATTTTAATACATGTGTAGATAGCTTTTTGCTCAGCTACTAAAGAACTTCATTTTTAAAGCTTGTGTGTTCAAATGAGAAGGTAATTATTTTCATAAATTGGATATACTACATTGGAGACTTTCTGTTCTTCATTTTATATGCAAATCTATTTTAATTATAGAAAACATCAAATACAGATAACCAAAAGGAAAAAATGATTTTCCCTTATCCTACCACCCAGATATGGGCACACCTACACTGATATTTCAGACTTTCTTCCTTGCACATATTTTTTTTCTTTAATGAACATATTATACAAATCAGTCTAAAATCTGCCATTCTCACTTTCCAATCATAAGACATTTTAATTAAAATAAACCCACATTACTGTTTTAATAGTCTCCCAGATTCCCCTGGCAGGAATGTACTGGGATGTATTTAATGCTAGCTGTTTGCCATGTTTCCAATTTTGCTAAATCCAAAGAGATGAAAGATGTCCTTGTTTGAATATCCTTGTGTCTTAGCATGAATATTTTTACTTTACATGCACTGAATTTAAAACGCAGTCCCCTCCTTTCTTTAAGAAAAGGCTTGTGAGCTCTTGGCCTTAAAGCAAGTGTGCCTTATGTTTTTATTTCAGGTGTATGAGCACCAAGATGGCAGCAAATCACTGAAGCTGGGCGACTTTGGACTGGCCACTATTGTTGACGGCCCCCTGTACACAGTCTGTGGCACCCCAACATACGTGGCTCCAGAGATCATTGCAGAGACTGGGTAAATGCTTTTGTGTTTCAGTGCTATGCTCACAAAAGAACAAGGTTGCTTGGAGAATAAGAAACAGCACTGCTCTTTCTCACCTGGACTGAATTAGCTATCAGGTTTCTTGCACATTTTTTTCCCCAACTTTTATAGTGGAAGCCATTTTCTCTGTTTTCCCAATCAAGTTGCCAATTATAGCAATCTTGTTTAAGGCTTCTGTTTGTCCTTTGTTAAAGGTAGAACAGAAGTTATTAACCTCAGAGTAAAAAATGCTCAGACTAACAGAGAAACATACAGCAGAGGTAATTAACTCACTTGTGGTGCTAAGAGAAACAGATGCTACCTTGTGCGGTGATTACAGACTCTGGTGGTTATTTCTCTCAGCCGCCCTTTCCTCCTGCCCTGGTTTCTTTTGACCTTCTTGGAGATGCACCGATTTTCTGTGCAGTACAAACACCCTGGGGCATCAGAAGGCCACTGGGAATTTGCTGGTTTCTGTATGCAGAATCAGGTAAAGGAAAATCTGTAGCCTAGAATGGGGAGAGAAGTGAAAACACAGGGTGGCCTATTACTTAAACTTGTCCTTAAACTTGCCGACTTAATTCTTACTCTCCCAGCCAATGGGACTGTTCCCGTCTTGGACACCAATTAAGTTTAATGTAAACTCATGACCAGCTAGTGGCTGAGTCAGGATTTGAACTTCAGGTTCAGCCTGAATCAAAGGCTCTTTCAAGAGTGAGCCTTTGTTGCGGTAATTTAGACACCATTTGAAAAGATTACTTCTGTGTCTGTACCTGTATCGATCTGTATCTGTGTCCCAGTCTCAAGTTCACTGCCAGTTCCACCTGTGTGCTAATGTGTCACCTGGGAAGAAGTGGTGATGGCTCCAGTAGTTGGGAGATGCTCCTGGATTCAGCAAGGCCCAGCCCTGGCTGTTGCAGGCTTTTGGGGAGTAAGCCAGTAGATAAAACATCTTTCTTGTTTGTCTCTCTGACTTTCCAGTAAGATGAAAATAAATAATAAAAAGAATAAAGGCTCTTTAAGTGAAAAGTTCCATGTGTTACCAAGAGTCATCGACAGCTCTCTGAGTTTCTGTTCTTCGGCAGAAGGAATGGGGAGGAGAGAGCAGCCAGGGGAGGCAACCCTACTTTTTCTTCTCATCAGTAGTTTTAACCCACATCTGGAGATGTAGGTGGTACCATCCACTGTGACTGGTCAGGCATAGTGTTTCTGCATGTACCAAATGCAAAAGGCAGACATACACAAAAGATGAGAAGGGAACCCCAAAAGGAAATCCCTAGGGTGAGAAGTGAGGGAATGAGACTTTTTTGTTATTCATCCAGTCTGAGTGAGTGGGAGCCTTAGCCTGACTTCCGTCAGACAGAGCTGCCTGTGTACAGCCAGACTTCCCACTAGGACCTATTCTGATGTCTGCTGGGTGGGAGAGATGGGTTGCAGGAAGAGTAGCTGGCTGAGCTCCTCAAGACCCTGGTTGGAGCCCAACTCCGCCATTTGCTAACCGTACAATTGAGCAAAATTACATGTCCTTCTGAACCTCAGTTCTGGTGTGTTTTTTTTTTTTTTTTTTTCCATGAAATAGGCACTACTTCTCCTGTCCAACCTACAGGGTTGTTGGGGAAACCAAATAAGATAATATAGGTTAGTGTTTCATAAATTGGAATGTTCTATTGATAATTATTCTTCCTAATATTAGGGAGTTAGATGGTCTCAAGGGTCCTCAAAATTGGTATCACTACAATAAATCTTTTTGCTGCAACCCTGCACTTACTGATATTTGGATATGAGCCCAGGTATGCATTAATTTTTATTCATGTGGCTTAGATAATCTTTTTAAAAATTATTTTTTGTTATTTGCTTGAACTCTAGTGGGTTTTAGTGTAGCGTTTGTTAGATTTTTTTTAAATACTTGTGTGGAAAGTGACACCATTTAATTTTTTAAGATTTTATTTATTTATTTGAGAGGTGGAGTTACAGACAGAGAGAGAGAGAGACAGAGAGAAAATCTTCCCATCTGCTGATTCACTCCCCAAAGGGCCACAACAGCTCAAGCTGGGCCAATCCAAAGCCAGGAACCAGGAGCTTCTTCCAGGTTTCCCATGCAGGTGCAGGGGCCCAAGCACTTGATCCATCATCTACTGCTTTCCCAAGCCATAGCAGAGAGCTTGATCAGAAGTGGAGCAGCTCAGACTAGAACCAGCACCCATATAGGATGCTGGTGCTTCAGGCAAAGGCTTGGCCCACTATGCCACAGTGCCGGCCCTGTTAGGTTTTTTGAAAACTGGTTTGTGTTCTTTTGAGTTTGTTATAGAAGAATCATCTGTTTTATCATGCCCCCTAGTTCGTCCTGACCTGACTTTGCTAACTGTAACATCACTTACTTTTCCAGATATGGCCTCAAGGTGGACATCTGGGCAGCTGGTGTAATCACTTACATCCTGCTGTGTGGTTTCCCTCCGTTCCGTGGGTATGGGCAGCAGTCTTTTATTCAGCACCAACAAAGCATGGCTCTATTCCCTGAATGATCCATTTGGCCTTTTGCACAAAGGAGCCTGCAGCAGAAAAAAAATAATAAGAATTTTACTTGCAATGCCTGTTATGTTCTCTGTGGTATGCATGCTAATTTGTCTGCTTTCCATAAATCTTCTTCCTAGAGTTTAAAAACTCATTTTTTCTTAATTCACCAAAATAGTTCCATATTGACATTTTCAATTGCTTTCAAAACACACATTTCACACATCTGTGGGGAAAGGAAGGGCCCCACTGCGTAAGAACGAGGAGATCCACCCTGATTTGACGTTTTTGTGCTGTTTTCTCCTTGTTGTTCTCCTGAACAGAAGTGGTGATGACCAAGAGGTGCTTTTTGATCAGATTTTGATGGGGCAGGTGGACTTCCCGTCTCCATACTGGGATAATGTTTCTGATTCTGCAAAGGTATGTTTCCAGTAGCTTCCTCTTCCATATAGCCTGTGTGTCTCAGTGGAGTTAATGATGCCAGATCATTGTGAACATGGTAAACAATGATGGCATAACTATTATTTCTGTACACATATAAGTTGCACGTAATAGGTTTCTCAAGATTTCATCAAATCTTCCATTCAGAACCATCCCAACACGTGCTCGTCAAGCGTCTCCAGTTCACTGGCTTCAGCTCATCCAGTTGTTACTCCAGTCACATAGCTACAGCCACTTGCTGTGCCCCACCTTTTACAGCCTGAGTCCACCTCAGATTTTGGTGCACCTTATTTTTTTTTTTATTTGACAGGTAGAGTTATAGACAGTGAGAGAGAGACAGAGAGAAAGGTCTTCCTTCCGTTGGTTCACTCCCCAAATGGCCGTTACAGCCAGCGCTGCGCCGATCTGAAGCCAGGAGCCAGGTGCTTCCTCCTGGTCTCCCATGTGGGTGCAGGGGCCCAAGCACTTGGGGCATCCTCCACTGCCCTCCCAGGCCACAGCAGAGAGCTGGATGAGAAGAGAAGCAACCGGGACTATAACCCAGCACCCATATGGGATGCCGGCACCACAAGGTGGAGGATTAACCAAGTGAGCCACGGCGCCAGCCCCTTGGTGCACCTTATTGCTTCACCTTTCTCAGGTCTTGACTCCGTGTCATCTTCTCAGACCATCCTGTTTACAATTGCAACTACTAAACCTTGCTTGACTTGCTTTATCCTCCTTTATTTGCTTTATTTTTCCCCATAGTACTTACATCTTTATGTACATCTGGTATACCACCTAATGGCCTATCTATCTATTCACCCCTCTGTAGATAAATCAATAGACACAGATCAGTGAATAGGTCTTCTTTATGTAGTCCATTTCCAAACTCTCCCTACTAGAATGCAAATTCTGTGAAGGCAAGGATTGTTTTCTGTTTTGTTCATTGCTGTATCATCTGTGTCTAAATAATGGCCAGTATTTCACAGGCACTCAATATATATTGAATAAATATATGAATGAGTGAATTGGTCAATTAATTGATCAAAATGAAGAAAGTTCAGCCTCATCATAGGTTAAAATGGTCAAGAAAGATTTTATAGGGAAACTATGATTTAAGTTAAACCTCCAGGCAAAGCCAATATTTAGAGGCAGAGGGAATCAAGAAATATAGTTTTTATCCCACTGAACTAAAAAATCAACCTCTAAGATGGATAGAGTGATGATTGCATGATAATGTGAATGTACTGAATGCCACTAAATTATACACTTAATATGGTCAAAGTGGTAAATTTTATGTATGTTTTGCCACATTAAAATAATAATAGCACATCAACCACTAAGAGAACTATAGAAACTTTACATTGTGATATTAGTAGACCTTGGAGGAAAAAGGAAGACCTTTTCATTGATCTCTTTCAAATTTATATTTTTTTCTCCAAGAATTTTCAATTTTTGAGAATTTAATTTTGAGAAATAATTATCTTTTGGTTGTTCAACAGTGTATGTCTTTCCTTTTTCTATGTCTTATGTATGAGTTCAGTTCTAAAACTCAACATCCTAGACATAACCACTTCGCATAGAAAGTGATGCATATCAGGTACAAGTCTGGCATTTTCTTCAGCTGTCCATCAGTCTGCCTCTGGACTTGAGAAAATGTAGGGAATTGAGGGAAGGGTGAGCAATGAGATGAGATGACACAGCTGCAGAGGTCAAGGTAGAGGTGTCTTCACCTGCACTTGGGCTCTTCAGGAATCTGCCCAGCTCTCAATGCTGTCACTCCATAACCTGAGAGAAAAATTGAGGCATGGCTTTCAAACATTTTGAAATACCCACATAGACCATATCCTATATCCCCAAGCACCTGGCAAAGAGCATCACACACAGGAATTGTTTTAGTAAGTCCTGGTCCAAGCCAGAAAGTGGATGAAGAAAGCTAAGGTAAATTGTCTACATCAGTGGCAGTCAATTATCCCCATCCCGTGTGGTGCCCAGAGCCTGTGTATATAAGGAATGGGGTCATGTGCATCTAACCGGCTTGTTTTGGGGGGAGCTTCTAACCCAAAGTGGAAAATGAATGCCAAATGGGCCATGAAGACCAAAGTTGTGATTTCCTGGTTCAAATTATTTGAGCCCATAGTTAAGATTCGTTAACTTCAGAATCATCACATCATTTACCCCTTCGTAGCTCTAGAGTTGACTCTTGAATGAGATGATTTGAAACTGCACAAGTCCACTTAATGTGGATTTTTTGAAGATTTTTGCTAATATAAAGAACAGATAAAAAAAATAAGAAACATTCAGTTGTATGTCATGAATGCTCAGAATATAAGTAGATAATCCATTTTATCATTTGCTACCATAAAATATACACAAGTGGATTATAAAAGTTAACAAAACTTAAGCACCTTGGGGCCGGCGCTGTGGTGCAGTAGGTTAATCCTCTGCCTGCAGTACCAGCATCCCATATGGGTGCTGGTTCTTATCCTGGCTGCTCCTCTTCCAATCCAGCTCTCTGCTATGGTCTGGGAAAGTAGTAGATGGCCCAAGTGCTTGGGCCCCTGCACCTGCATGGGGGACCCGGAAGAAGCTCCTGGCTCCTGGATTTGGATTGACCCAGCTCCAGCCATTGGGGCTATTTGGGGGGTGAACCAGTGAAAGGAAGACCCTTCTGTTCTCCCTCTCACTGCCTGTAACTCTACCTCTTAAATAAATAAATCTTAAAAAAAAAAAAAAAACTTAAGCACCTTACCACTTACACATCATGCAAGTACAATTTGCAATCAAGAGGAATGTAAACAAATGTAAAGCAATATTAAATCTTAACTACATAAGTTACTTGTACATACTGTGCTTCAAGGGTTTGTGGCTACCTCCTGCTGCTATGGTAGTGAGCTCTGTGTTGCTTACAGCACCAGGGACGCTCATCGTCTTCACAGGAGCAGTTAGTCTCTCCAGCAAATAGTGTATTACAGGGAAAAGTGATCTCTAACAGTTCCTGCATATTTTTATCATGTGTAATACATATAACATAGGAAATATGTATGATCGACTGTTTAGGTTATCATAAAGGCTTCAGGTCAACTGCAGGCTATTAGTAATTAAGTGTGGGGGTAAGTCAAAAGTTATATACAGGCAAAGCATTTGGTCTAGCAGTTAAGATGCCTCCATCCCATATCAGAGTGTTTGTGTTCAAATCGTGGCTCCATTCCCAATTCCAGCTTCCAACTAATGTGGACTCTAGGGTTAGGGGTAGGGGACTGGTGATGGCTCAGTAACTGGGCTCCTGCCACCTACATTGGAGACTGGAATTGAATTCTTGCCTTCAGCTCAGCCCCACCCCAGCCATTTGGGGGAGTGAATCAGTGGACTGGAGATTTCTTGTGCTCTCCATCTATGGCCCTCTGTCTCTCTCCCATTCTCTCTACATCAAAAATTAAAATAAAAAGTAAATAAATGAAACTATACACAGATTTTTTGATTGCACTAAGATCAGAATCCCTAAGCCCTGCTTTGTTCAACTGTGTTTCCTTTATATTGATGAGGCTAGAAGCTTTTGAAGCCATTTTTACGTATTTCCTTAGAATTCCTTGGCTACTAAGCAATAGTTATTTCTATTTTATCACCTAGCTGTTGGCAAGTCTATTTCTTTTCTTATTCCATTATTTTTTTTTTTTTGACAGACAGAGTGGACAGTGAGAGAGAGAGAGAGACAGAGAGAAAGGTCTTCCTTTTGCCATTGGTTCACCCTCCAGTGGCCGCCGCGGCTGGCGCACTGTGCTGATCCGAAGCCAGGAGCCAGGTGCTTCTCCTGGTCTCCCATGGGGTGCAGGGCCCAAGCACTTGGGCCATCGTCCACTGCACTCCCGGGCCATAGCAGAGAGCTGGCCTGGAAGAGGGGCAACCGGGACAGAATCCGGCGCCCCGACCAGGACTAGAACCCGGTGTGCCGGTGCCGCTAGGCGGAGGATTAGCCTGTTGAGCCGCGGCGCTGACCTTTATTCCATTCTTACAAGGCTAAATATGCCATCTAGGAATTAGGAGGAAAAAATGATTTTGACTTTCATCTGCCAAAGTGTAAATTAATTAAAGTATTCTTAACATGTGACCTCTATATTAAACTAATTAAGAAGTTTGTCTTTTAACTGTAAAACCCTAGACAAAGATATGAGTATTAATTCATTAGCTTTGAGTAATGTGTCTCTTTTCTACTGTAAACATGTATTATGGAATTGATTTTAATATGAATATTTTATCTTTTCTGTCAACCACATGCTGTATAATTATGATTCCAGTTGCTCACCTTCCCTTTAACTTTCAAAGGCATTACTCAGGTAACCATGGGTAAATGGAATTGATAAATGAAAGATGTGGAGCTTCCTTGAATGCTTTTCCAAACTGAAAGAGAATTGCGTTTGCAACACCCAGGTTTTCACCTTAAAAGTAAAGTAAATGAAATCAATGTTCGCCTTACAGGAGCTCATCACCATGATGCTGTTGGTCGATGTCGATCAGCGATTTTCAGCCGTGCAAGTCCTTGAGCACCCCTGGGTTAACGTAAGTGACTGTTTCCTTCCATGGAGCCATTCCTGATTTTCCTTTTAAAAACTGTTTACAGGTTTCCTAATGATGTTGTCTCCCTTTGAAAATGTTGTCTTTGGGGTCGCTCCCCTCCCCTAGATGTGCCCGGCCAGTTACAGGGTCTTAGATTTGTTCTCCAGAGACACAGGCTCAGTCCATTTCATTCCTTCCATGGGGCTGCCTTCTAACTGGGGAGGTGTATGTGACTGCTGTTCCCATGCTAACACCTTCTCTCTGCAGTCCAGATTAGGGCTAAATAATCACTGGTGAAGCAGAGCGATTTTCTGAGTTAGTCCTTTTACCAAAAGTAGGAGTAACAGAGGGTTTCTGCATACACTTTGGAGTACAGTAATGCAACGCCTCTCAAACTTGAATCTGCTCACCAACCACCCAGACATCTTGTTAAAATGCAGATTCGAATGCAGCGGGATTGAGGCTGTGCATTTGTAAAAGTTCCCAGATGCTGCTTCTGTGGTTGCTCTTTAAGTACAAGAGCATAAGTGTATTTCTCCAGTTATTTCTCTGCAGAGCGGCAGAACCCCATTGTTTAACCCTCTTAGTCCTACAACTAATTGAAAAGGATGTTTTTAAATTAACAATAATAATAGTTAATACAGAGTGCTTAGCTTCTGGAGTTTGTCGGTACTATTTGAATGAACTACCTTGAATGAACTGATTGTGTTCCTCTCAGCATCTTTATAATCTGGTTACTATTGTCATTTCAGCTGGTAGGTGGGCAAATTCCATAAGCAAGTTGAATGGTTCTTACTACCAGAATAGAAGGCATGTAGATTTGGATGTAGACATAGACATGGACATGGAAAAGGACAATCATAAAACTGTCAGCTCATTGATAGAAATTTTGCCAGCCTGCCTTCTGGTGCTGTATGATCTGGCTGGAAATTGATGACAACAAAACATTCCACTTCTCTGAACTGTCACCGGGGCAGGTAGTTAAGTAGCTTTTTCCCAGAGTAACTACTACTGAGGACAAAGTATGACCGAAAGCACGGTCATCACACAAGGTGACAAGAGCTTGGAATCTTGCTCTTCTGCCTGATGGCCACTGGCAGAGTTTCTAGTAATTTGCACATCTGAACATGATTCTTCACACTCCGCTGGGAGGTTTTATGTCTATGTGGCATCCTCCAAAAGTTCATAAGGATGGAAATAAATACAAGTTTAGGGACCAGCATTTGGAGCACTGGTTAAGACACTGCTTGGGATACCCATATCCTATATCAGAGTGTTTGGATCTGAGTTCCAGTTCTGCTTCTGACTCAAGCTTCCTGCTAATGCCACCCTGGCAGGAATCAGGTGATCGTTCAAGTGCTTGGGCCTTTGGTACCCATTAGAGAAATCTAGATTGAGTTCCTGGCTCCTGGGCTTCAACCTGGCCCACCCCTGGCTATTTTGGGCATATGGGAAATGAACCAGGAGATGGAAGAACTCTGTATCTCCAGTCTCTCTGCCTTTGAAATAAATTTAAAAAATCAACCAGTAAATAAATAAATGTTGAGGCAAGTTTATTCTGGTATAAAAATATTTTAAAATTCATACATCTTTTTATAATATGCATTTTCCATGAATTTGTTGAAGACTGCTCTATCCATGAGTTTCAAAACATTTTGGTCTAAAATAAACATATTTTAATACCATTTCCATGAACTTTTAAAAGCCTCTCATAAGACTATGAATGAGCATTTAGAGAGTCACAGCAAAAAATACAAACCCCCACCCCGGTTCCTAGGATAGAGGGGCGGGGGATGGGGGGCAGCCATCATCCAGGGTGGTGTCTTCTGGCCTCAGCAACCTTTGCATTTATCCCAGGCTGCCAAACAAAAATTATCCTTTCCTATGAGAGGGGAAGGGGTAAGGGAGCATCTTGAATCTAATAATAATAAGCCTTCTATATGGGCAAGTGGATATTATTTTACCCATTTTTTTCAGATGAGGAGACTGATGCTATGAGGGGCGATTTGCCCAAAGTAGTCATGCTTGCAGTTGAGCCAGAACCTGCAACCAGGCATCCTCACGCCAAGCCCAGATGCCATAAAGTCCTGTGCACCACACTACTGCTCTCCCCCTTTGGCATACATGAGTGCACTGTATGGAAATCAGCATTGTTATAATGAGAATTGTTACAAGTTGGCAGCCTTTCCAAACTAAAATACCTAGATTATGGCACTTTTCCTTCAGGTATGTGGAGTGGAAGTGGCACAAGCCAGCTGTACTCTCTCTTAGTTCTGACTCAACTATGTGGACTAATTCAAAGCCCAGGGCCCATAACTTATCAAATTGCATGTTAGTCCCAGAAGGATAACCACACGGAATAAACTGGAAAATCTGAATTTGAAACGTAGCCTTTGAAGGCCCAAAATGAGTCATAGAGGACAAAGATTTGTCAATGGCAAATGGCTGTTAGAGCTTTCCAAACACAGAGGGCCACTGCCAGCCAGACCCGCGCTCCAACAGCACCGCCTGATGCTGCCTGACAGTCAAGGGCAATCAAAGAGGCTGCCCCAGCCCCCAGAGGGTGTCCTGGAAGGCTTCTGGGAAGAGATGGCAGAACTCCGCCCTGGAGAGGCTGGGAAGTGGAGGCCCGGCAGACGACTCCAGCAGGATGTGGACATTTGCAAGAAGCAAACTTTGTGAATAAGAGTGAGTTTGGCGGTGGTCTGGAATGCCATTGGAAACAGCGTAATCATTCACCCTGATTCCAAACCAAATGACTGCATCAGTAATATTCCACTCGATGCAGTAAATAAGAAGAACCTAAGCAGCCTTCCAGCTGTTACCTTGGAAAAGCGAGGCTGCTCACTTTCCTAGCTTGACATATATACAACTGCATCTGCGCCGTAACTTTCTGCCGCCTCCACCAGCTCCGCGCACACTGCTACACCTGGTCCCACTTTGCAGATAATTAGCTTCCTCTGCTCTCTCTGGAGCTTGGACGTCTGCTGTCATTTCAGTTTCCCTCTCAGATTCCCTAAAAACATTTCCTAAAAGCAAGGATAACATTTAAGTAATCATCCAAGAGATTTAAAACTTAAAAGAAATACCATTTAAATAATTCAAAAATATTTTTACCTTCTACTGAAATGCAGAGAGAAAAGTCTGTTGCTTTCAGTAAAAGCCTTTTAAAACTTAAGCTATAAAGTGGTTGCTTCATTTTTGAAATTATTTTTACACAGTAACTCAACCAGAAACCTGCTTATTTTCTGTGCCTCAAAATAATAAATTAAAAAATGAGGTTTCACAACCAGCATTTAGGATTTATTGAAGTCACTTGAACAAAAACACATGCACAACCAAGCAATCAAAATAAATAAATTAGGAATGTAAAAGGGTATCCATTTAACAAGACATTTTGCATTTGGCAATCAAATTATATCTGATCCCCACAAAGGACGCTCCCTAAGGGGGAGAAAGGTAGTAATCATTATGTGAACCCTAAGGAAGGCCTCAGGAAGCTCTTCCTGTGTTCTCATTAGTTCTAATTTTCTCTATTGCTGATACAGTGACCTTTCCACCTGGCACACTTGGCACTGAAAAGGCAGTCTCTCAGGAAGCAGAAGGCACAACACAAGGGCAATAGAATCAAAAACCAAGTCAGCAAAAGTCGCTTGTTTTAACCCCGCTGCAGGAGACGCCTCTAAGCCCTCATTTATTTTTCATGCACTCTGGTCACGAACCTCACCGTGTTCCTGTTTGTCCTTGACTTCTGATGTCCTGTTGGAAGGATCATGAGTGAGGCCTCCCAGGGCGAGATCCCATGAACCAGTCAACAAAGACGCCATCACTATGTGGCCATGCGCCCAGGAGAAGAATGGAGACTCCTGGAAGTTGCACAGCCTCCCCCAGCTGCATGACCTTGGAGAAATCACTTCTCTCCTCCAAACCAGTTTTGCTGTCTGTGGAATGCACTAAGTAGGATAGGCCTCTCCTGTTGTCGTGAGCACAAAGAGAGGATCATCTATTCCAAGGGCCTCAAAAGACCATCTAGTACTTATAGGCATTTCACATATATATGCTGAATCGGACTGTGGGCCAGGGTCAGCTCTGTCACTCTTTGCTTTCTGCCGGTGAAATGCAAATTGTGATCACAGCTGGAACATGATCCTTTATGTGGGCCACAGATCCACATAGATAATGATGCATTAGCAACTCTGTGGCCTGCTCCAGTATCCCAACTACCCCCCTACCAACCGCAACTGTTCCCATTAGGGTTCTTTGCCTCATTACTCATCAAATGAAGAACCATATAATTTAGGCATATATAACATAAGCATGGAATAGGCAATAATATATCCTTTTTCCAGATTTATTTTTATTTATTTGAAAGCAGAGTGACAAAGAGACAGAGATAGATACAGATCTTCCATTTGCTGGTTCACTCCCCAAATGCCCAAAACAGCCAGGGCTGCGCCAGGCCAAAGTCAGGAGCCAGGAACTCCATCTAGGTCTCCCACAAGGGTGACAGGGGCCCAGGCGCCTGGGCCATCTTCTGCTGTCTTCCCAGGCGCATTGTAGGGAGTGCTATCTGAAGTGGAGCAGCTGGGACTCAGAGCAATGCTCTGACATGAAATGACACCATCTCAGGCAGCAGCTTAACCCACTATGCCAGGATGCTGGCCTCAAAAATAATAGATCTTGATCATTCTGGGAATTCAGGAAAAAGTTGAGTCATTTCCCCCCTACCCAGTGATTCTTTATTGGTGGAAGTGTAGGTTAGTGATAAGTTCACAAATTGAACTGATGTTTCAGAAAATTTCTTTATTTAAGATTTATTTTATTTATTTGAAAGAAAGAGTTACAGAGAGGTAGAGACAGAGACAGAGAGAGAGGTCTTCTGTCCGCTGATTCACTCACCAGATGGTCGAAACTGCCAGAGCTGAGCCAATTTGAAGCCAGAAACTAGGAGTTTCTTCCAGGTCTCCCACATGGGTGCAGGGGCCCAAGGACTTGGGCCATCC